CGATCGGCCGATTTTCGCGGCAATTAGTGGGCAAATCGGCCGATTTTTTACCGATAAAAAATCTGCGCATGAGCAGTGACCTGCAAGAGGAAGACAAAAAGAAGAAAAAAAAGAAGAGGAAGAGGATGAAGAAGAGGATGAAGAAGAAGAAGAGGATGATGAAGAAGAAGAGGATGAGGATGATGAAGAAGAAGAGGATGAGGATGAAGAAGAAGAAGAGAGATGAAGAAGAAGAGATGAGGATGATGAAGAAGAAGAGGATGATGAAGAAGATGATGAGGAAAAGAAGAGGAAGATGAGGAAGAAGAAGAGGAAGATGAGGATGAAGAAGAAGAAGAGAATGAGGATGAAGAAGATGAAGAAGAAGAGGATGAGGATGAAGAAGAAGAAGATGAGGATGATGAAGAAGAAGGGATGAGGATGATGAAGAAGAGAGGATGAGGATGATGAAGAAGATGAAGAAGAAGAAGAAGAGGAGAGGATGAAGAAGAAGAGGATGAGGATGAAGAAGAAGAGGATGATGAAGAAGAAGAGGATGAGGATGATGATGAAGAAGAAGAAGAGGATGAGGATGAAGAAGAAGAAGATGATGAAGAAGAAGAGGATGAGGATGAAGAAGAGGAGATGATGATGAAGATGAGGATGAGAAAGAAGAAGAGGATGAGGATGATGAAGAAGAAGAGAGGATGAGAATGATGAAGAAGAAGAAGTAGGATGAAAATAAGAAGAATTCCAGTCCAGCAAAAAGTATCTCTGCAGAGAGCTCCGCTATTTCTGACAGTTCTCTGACAGTTCTTTGACATTTACAGCGGTTGAAACATTGTATCTATTTGTTTCCGAATAAAAACATCTGTATCCTAAATGGAAACAAATAGATACAATGTTTCAACCGCTGTAAATGTGAAGGAACTGTCAGAGAACTGTCAGAAATAGCGGAGCTCTCTGCAGGGACACTTTTTGCCAGCTGTAGAAGGGATGAAAATCGGCCGATTTTTTTTACCATTGATGGTAACGTCGGCCGCTTGAACGACCGAATTTTTGTTTTTTAAAAGAAAAAATCTGCCGTTTTTTTCTCCCCATCTATGGCCTGCATTAGGCCTCATTTAGACTAGTAGTTGGAGGGTAGCAAAAATGTGTGGTTGAATCATGTTTTTTGCCACCTTCCAAGCAACCCCTCTTAAGCTGCAATAGGCAGCGGACAGGGATGTTTTCATGCAACAGCAGAGTTGACCCAACATGTATGGTTTGGTGGGCGGGGAGCCCACCCAACATTACACATGCAAGTCAATGGGGAAGTACCGTGAACACCCTGTCAGCAAAAATAGGGTTAAAACAGGCAGTAAGGAGATGTCGCATTGCTTCCTCACCGCCTGTCAGTAGCCTCCGGAGTGAGATCCCAACACAGATGGGTCTTCAGAGGCAAGGGAGATTTAGACGCATGTCCAAGGGCTGCATTCACGTTCACACAACCCTTGCAGAAACTTGGTAAAAAAACGCATATGTCTTTTTGCTGTGTTCCTAAGGCATTTTCTGGTCGTCTGCATCTGTGACAAAATGGACATGTGACTCAAAAAAGACACCAATAATCAAACACACAGTGCATTTTTGATGCATTTTCCATTCATTTCAATGGGAAGGTGCATCTTTAGAGTGTTTTTTTTAACATGATCCAAAAATGCAGTACGCAGGACTTTTAAAAATGCTTTTTTTTTTTTTTTTTACTGAAAAACTGATTAAAAACCGAACTGTGTGAAAGGGCCCTGAGTGAGAGTCTCAAACAAGTGGTTACCAGAAGAGGACCAGGCAGTGTAAGCCAATTTAATAATTCAATACAGAAATATATAGAAAAAAAAACTCTAGAGGTAATACCTCCACCATTCACCAAATTAAAAGACTACAATGTTGTCATATTTTAACTTGGTGAATGGTGGAGGTACTACTTGGTACTACTACTTGGTACAAACCGTTGGCGCTATTTAAATCCTGTATAATAATAATAATACTACTTACTTACAATAAATTGGATTAAAGTTACACTGCTTTGTTCTCTTCTGGTAACTACTTGTTTGAGACTTTCCCTTAAAGCAGAGTTCCACCCAAAAGGGGAAGTTCCACTTTAAAGATTGGTCCCCCACTCCCCATTAAGGATTAGCACCTTTGGGGAGCGGGGGCCATTCAGGAAGCGCAGCACTACTCGCGCATGCGCAGCCACAAAGCCACAAGCTGTCACAGCTGGGTGCCAATACTGAAGATGCCGGCGCCTGGAATACAGGATGGCAGGGGAAACGGGCTGCGGCAGGGGCACAGCGGGATCGTGGGACAGGTAAGTGGCTGTTTTTTTAAAAGTCAGCAGCTGCAGTTTTTGTAGCTGCTGACTTTTATTTTTTTACAGAGTCAGTGGAACTCCGCTTTAAGTAGGCCAGAGGCAAGTTGAACACCGAATGAAAATTCTTGCCAATCGTCAGATCGTTTGTTTTTCACATCATTAATGTGCCAGCTGCAACGCACGATTTTCATGTCACACTCAAAAGTGCCTGATCCAACATGCTGGATTTTTATTTAAAACTAAACAAATGATGACATTCTCGTTTTCCGATCGACAGAACATTCTTTTTTCGGCTCATCTATGGCTGGCTTTAGTCTCTGAATTTATGACGGATTGATATTTTGGTCACGAGGACAGCACCTTATGTATAGTGCTGTGAAAAAGTATTTGCCCCCTTCCTGATTTTTTTTTTTTTTTTTGCATATTTGTCGCACTTAAGTGATTCAGATCATCAAGCAAATTTTAATATTGAATAAAGATAACCCAAGTAAATACAAAATGAAGTTTTTAAATGATGATTTCATTTATTAAGGTAAAAAGCTGTCCAAACCTGCCTGGCCCTATGTGAAAAAATAATTGCCCATAGACCTAATAACTGGTTCTGCCACCCTTGGCGGCAACAACTGCAAGCAAGCATCTGCGGTAACTGGCAATGAATCTTTCACATCGCCTTGGAGGAATTGTGGCCCACTCTTCTTTGTAGAATTGTTTTAATTCAGTCATATAGGAGAGTTTTCTAGCATGAATGGCCTGTTTAAGGTCATGCCACAGCATCTCAATCAGATTTAAGTCCAGACTTTGACTAGGCCACTCTAAAACCTTAATTTTGGACTTGTGTGTTTCGGATCCTTACACTGCTCAATAACCCAAGTGAGCTTGAGCTTGAGGTCACAAACTGATGGTTGGATATTTTCCTTCAGGATTTTCTGGTAGAGCGCAGAATTCATGGTTCCATCAATTATGGCAAGTCGTCTAGATCCTGAAGCTGCAAAGCAGCCCCAGACCATCACACTACCACCACCATGTTTGACTGTCGTATGATCTTTTTTTTTAAATGCTGTGTTTAGTTTTACGGGAAGCACACCTTTCAAAACGTTCAACTTTTTGTCTCATCAGTCCACAGAATATTTGCTCAAAAGTCTTGGAGATAATCAAGATCATTTTTGGCAAATGTAAAACGAGCCTGTGTTTTTTTGGTCAGCAGTGGCTTTCACTTTGGAACTCTCATATGGATGCCATTTTTGCCAGGTCTCTTTCTTATTGTTCAGTTATGAACACTGACCTTAACTGAAGCGAGGCCTGCAGTTCTTAGATGTTTTGGGTTCTTTTATGACCTCCTGGATGGGATGTCGTTGCGTTCTTGAAGTAATTTTGGAAGGCCAGCCACTCCTGGGAACGTTCTCCACTCTTCAAAGTTTTCTCCATTTGTGGATAATGGCTCTCACTGTGATTCGCTGGAGTCCCAAAGCCTTAGAAATGGCTTTGTAACCCTTTCCAGACTGATACATGTCAATTACTATGTTTCTCATCTGTTCTTGAATTTCTTTAGATTGCAGCATAATGTGTTGCTTTTTGAGATCTTTTAGCATGCTTCACTTTGTCAGACCGCTTCTATGTAAGCAATTTCTAGATTCAGCCGGTCTGGGAGTAATCAGGTCTGGGTGTGACAGATAAAATTTAACTCCGCTTTCCAAAAAATGCAGTCAATTACAATTCATTCATGATTTAGCAAGGGGGGCAATTACTTTTTCACATAGGGCCAGGCAGGTTTGGACAGCTTTTCTCCATTAATAAATCATCATTTTTAAAAGCTGCATTTTGTAATATTAAAATTTGTTTGATCTGAATCATTTAAGTGTGACAGATAAGAGCATAAATAAATAATTCAGGAAGGGGGCAAATACTTTTTCACAGCACTGTACTTCAATAATGAGTCGGTGAACTTGAAAATACATTTACAGGGGGTGGACCCCTTTAGCTTTTTTTTTTATTAATCCCCAGTGTTTTTTTAAATTGGTATGTGATTCAGACTTGTCTGTAGTCCATGACGTCATCACACAAAGGAGGGAACCATCTTCTGGGCTTTGGGAAAGGTCAGGCTGTTCTCCATTGTGCACAGGATGCTGATTTGATCTCAGAAGTGACTTTTTGTCCACAAGGCGCCTGTCTGCTGGGATGGGCCTGGTGTACCATCTAGAAATGGCTTTAACATTCCAGGCAAAACAGTTCTATATTAGCTTACTTGCACGTAATTGAACATAAATTGAACAAAAAAATGTGAACCAAGCCTTTATTCATGAAATTTTTTCCATGTAAGGGCCCTTATATATACATAAAATCTTTTAACATTCATTGGATACTTTGAAAGTAAAAGTAAAGTACAGTCTTATCTTATTTTTTTTTTTGGCCTTTTTTGCAAGTTTTGAGTCAGAGAAAATGTATGCAGGAAAAATAAGTTTTTGGAATACATGAATTCTGAAATCATATGCAGGGAGATGCACATTGTCCTTTGTTCTGTGTGCATTGTAGGAACATAAAATAGTCTCTGCAAAGTCTGGGAGAAATATTCACCTTCTAGAAGCTGCATCTTCTTAATGTGTGCAGCACAAAGCCCATTTTGATCTTCAAGAGAAGCCAAGTCTAATCTGTTTAATGTGCTTTCCATTTTTTTAAGAAAACAAAACTGATCTGGAAAAGTGCGTACTGCAGAGGAAAATCAAAATCCCCAAGCTGTGTCTGAACTCAACAGAAGGGTCTTGGGAGTTTAAAGAGTATGAAGAAGATGAGGACAGTGAGCGCCGGCATAGCAAGGTAGGTTCAGAAACTTTTCTTCCTTCTGCAGAACTTTTACAAATGAAAAAAGTAATTCTACCTTCACAAGGAGCTGTGGTCTTTTGGGTATATCATTTACTAAAATGAAACGGTTTTAAAACTAGCTTAAACTGACACGAAACTCTGGTTTAAAAAAAATATACTGTGTATATACATTCACCAGCCACTTTATTAGTACTCCTTGCTAGTACTGGTTGGACCCCCTTTTGCCTAAGAACTGCTCTAATTCTTCGTGGCAGATATTCAACAAGGTGTTGGAAACATTCCTCAGAGATTTTAGTCCATATTGACATGATAGCATCACGTAGTTTCTGCAGAGTTGTCAGCTGCACTTCCATGATGCGAATCTCCCGTTCCACCACAACCCAAAGGTGTTCTAGTGGATTGAGATCTGGTGACTGTGGAAGCCATTGGAGTACAGTGAGCTCATTATCATGTTCAAGAAACCAGTTTGAGATGATTCGAGCTTTGTGACATGGTACATTATCCTGCTGGAAGGAGCCATCAGGAGATGGGGACACTAGTCATAATGGGATGGACATGGTCAGCAACAATACTCAGGTAGGCTGTGGTGTTTAAACGATGCTCCGTTGATACTAAGGGGCCCAAAGTGTGCCAAGAAAATATCCCCCCCACACCATTATACAGTAAAACCGGCCTGAACAGTTAATACAAGGCAGGATGGATCCATGCTTTCATGTTTACGCCAAATTCTGACCCTACCATCTGAATGCCACAGCTGAAATAAAGACTCATCAGACGAGGTGACATTCTTCCAATCTTCTATTGTCCAATTTTTGGTGAGGCTGTGCGAATTGTAGCCACGTTTCCTGGTCTTAGCTGACAGGAGTGACACCCCGTATGGTCTTTTGCTGCTGTAGCCCATCTATTTTAAGTTCGATGTGTTGTGCGTTCAGTGATGGTGTTCTGGTTGTAATGAGTGGTTATTTGAGTTACTGTTGCCTGTCTATCATCTCGAACCAGTCTGCCCATTCTCCTCTGACCTCTGACATCAACAAGGCATTTCCGTCCACTCAACTGCCACACACTGGATAATTTCTCTTTTTCAGATCATTCTCTATAAATCCTAGAGATGGTTGTGCATGAAAATCCCAGTAGATCAACAGTTTTTGAAATACTCAGACTAGCCCGTCTGGCACCAACAACCATGCCACATTCAAAGTCACTTAAACTCCCTTTCTTCCCCATTCTGCTGCTCGGTTTGAACTTCAGCAAGTCGTCTTCACCACGTCTAGATGCCTAACTACATTGAGTTTCTGCCATGTGATTGGTGGGTTAGCAATTTGTGTTACCAAGCAATCATTATGTATTCCTAGCTCAAAAAGGCCATCTGTTGCTCTCAGCCTCAGGTGGTGCCACGGTATGTAGGAATGTAGCCATCCTCTTGCTTGCTTCCCAGATGGACTAGAGACTATGGACTACAGAATTTGCAGTGTGCATACATGGCCGCAGCTAACATGCGCTGCTTGTACCAAACAAATGGAAGTGAGGGGAAAGGGAGATGTTCGGTAACTTACAGAAGAGGTCTTTACAAGGAGGCAGGAAAAACACAGTAAGAAACAATTTCATAAAAAATAGATTGCAGGGCCATTAAATAGTAGATGTGTATGGATTATGTTTGGTGAATAAGGATATTGTTTAGTATAACTTAAAAAAATAAAAATTGCACCTTTTTTTAGATGCTCTATTCTGGGTCCTCCAGCAAGGAAAAATCCTAGGTAGTTCACTATATTTATGAGGGGGCTGGCCAGCTGTGTTTTGCCATAATTAACCCTGTCTGTACTGTGCAGGCAGATCTTATCAGTTGTAGCTATATTTGAACATGGTCTGTCCTAGCAAAGGGTGAATGGTGTTAATGAGGACAGACTTGGGACAGGCTCACTCCAACATTGATTAAAAAAAACCCTTGTAGTCAGCCATGACACTTTTTCCTGAGAAACATTTAAAAAGGTAATAATATTAAAAAAAAATAAAATATACTGTGTGAAGGGGAAAAAGGAACAAATATTTGGTGGGGTTTTCTCAAATTTAACCGCAAAAGTGGAAATATCCCAGATAGCTATGATTAAGTGCATATGTTTACAGTGTAGTCAGGCAGATTGCAGAGCTAGCAGATTTCCTGGATAAACGGAAATAGGCAGCAGTCTTCAACCACTATTGACTATAAAATCAAGGTCTTCCTTTACCACACCATGGGATCTCATGATGTATATTCTGCTTTGGCCAAAACGCACAGGAACATTTTTTTTTTTTTTTGAGATTTAGGGCTTGTTAAGGGATCATTCAAAATGAATAGGCTGCCTTAAAGCAACACGTGTCCGTAGTGGCCCTTAATGCCATCCCTAAGTATTTTAAAGATCAATAATGAAGCGATAATCTTTTGTGAATTGTTTTTTTACAAATTCCCACAAACATCAGTAATGTAATGTGCCTGCAGTAAATCTGACAATGTGAAAAACCTGTAGGGAATTGAAAACATGATTTAAAACATAGCCAGTAATGCACAGTAATGAAAAGCGACATATGGTCTTCTTTAGTAAAGTGATTCTAAAGATAACATTTTTTTTTTCTTAAACATAACAAACATGTTATACTTACTTGCGCTGTGCTACGGTTTTGCACAGAGCAACTCTGATCCTCCTCTTCCTCAGTGCTCCTGGCCCCTTCCCCCTGCCAAGTGCCCCCATAGCAAACCGCTTGCTATGGGGGCACTCGTGTATGCTCGCTCCTGAGCCAGATCTGTGTGTCCATTGACTCTCAGAGCTGACTCGACCCTGCCCCCCCACTCTTTCCTCACCTGCTGTAATTGACACCAGTGGGAGTCAATAAAGCAAGGTTATCAAAAGAGGACAAAGTCTGTCTATATAGTACAAAAGACCAAACTCAAACTTTAAACTTTCTCTTGTTTGTTGTATTATGTATCATAAACCCCGTTCCATATCCTGTTTCAGTAAATTTGACCAATTATTGTGGTCATCCTGAAAGTATCTGGTTCATTTTATTCATTTTATCCCTACCATTCATTGTTGTGTTACCTTTATATAATAAACTCAGTGTATACGGTATCACGCTATGTGGTGTCCCTTTTTGGGCTCTCTTCAATGAGAGTCCCCACTTGCAGAACCTGTTCAAAAAGGGACCCCAGATGGTGACACGTTTGAGACTCTTGGAGTACCTACCCTGAGTTGCGATTGGAAGGTGTATGACCCTGACCTTACCTTGGCAGTAGATGGCTGCTACCTGATGTAACAGGATACATTTCACATGCGTATTTGTGATGCACTTCTGGTGAGTGCGCATTTTTTACCCTAGATTTACCGTGTGGTACACTGGAACTCTGCCCCACGCACTCATTAAGATCTACCGGATCCCCACGTTGGGCCCTCATTTATCTTGGGACTTTTTATTCACTCAAGTTCACCTCCGTGTGATCTGATATTTGCACTTTATTTTATGCTATAATATGCTGTTTTTATTTATGTTATTTTAGTGCTGCACCTTATATGTATATATAAGAATTATTAGTAGGGGTTCCCTGAGACTGGAACGTTATTTGAAGGGTTCCCCCATGTTAAAAACATTGCGAGAGGTTTGTCTAGAGACTTGTCGTGTCCTCACCAAGCCTAAAATGTTCTTAGGATGGCTCCCCTTATATACAGGTATTTGTGTGAATGTAAATAGAAAATGTTCTGCATGGAAGTAACTAGTGTTTTATAGGGCCTGGTGATGTTAGACATTGAAGGCATTACCCTGTTAATTGTATAAGGAAGGATTGGAATAATCAAGCAGCGGTGCAGTCACCCACAATCTTTATAACCCCGTTTTTCACACTGTTGTACATCTGCCAGAGGGAAGGTTAATGATGTGTTCAAGCCAAAAATCTCTGAAACTTGATTACTCGCACATAAAGCATTGCTTCAACTAATTGCACCTTCATTAATCTTTTTTTATTTTCCTGTTTGAACAAATGTGTTCTTTTAAATGCCACTAATGTTCAGTGCACCTCCATTGGTGTCCTTTTCGGGAAGCAAATTGCAGTCATATTATTTATAAGTTCCTCGCAAGATGTGATGCACTACAAAAATGTACGAAGTTACTTATGAAAAATGAAAAAAAATTGCAATCTCTGTGTGGCTACTTCCCCTCCTCCACAGCTTATTGTAAGCACCTTTAATGAAGCTGCATGAAAAGGCTCCTTTCTTGTGGTCTGGTATGTGCTAGCCCAGGGGTGGGCAAACGTTTTGACTTGAGGGCCGCAATGGGTTCATATATTGGACCCGGGGGCCAGACCAAGAGTAGATGAATGATGTGTATGTGTCATCCATAGTAAGTATAGTAATATTCCCCCATAGTAAGCATAGTAATTAATCCCTCATATAGTAATTCATCCCCCATATAGTAATTCATCCCCCATAGTAATTCATCCCTCATAGTAATTCATCCCCCATATAGTAATTCATCCCCCATATAGTAATTCATCCCCCCTATAGTAATTCATCCCCCCTATAGTAATTCATCCCCCATATAGTAATTCATCCCCATATTAATTCATTCCCCATATTAATTCATCCCCCATATTAAGTCCCCAAGTCCCCCCTGTGTCAATTCACTTACCTTTGCTCCGCGCGGTTCCTCTCGCCGTGTTCCCGCGCCTTTCCGGTGTAGCATGAAAATCTGTCTCCTATGAGGATCTGTCCCCCTCGACGTATCTGCGCATGTGCCAGTTTCAGGCATTAGCAGCCGATCGGCGATCTCCGGCACATGCGCAGATACGTCGAGGGGGACAGATCCTCATAGGAGACAGATTTTCATGCTACACCGGTCTTCAGGGGCGGACTGTGAGAGGAGCCTAGCGGGAGCCTAGCTCCACGGGCCGGATTAAAAGGTCCGCCGGGCCGTAGTTTGCCCATTGCTGTGCTAGCCTTTCTGAGTCCATCATAGTGCGGCAGTGGTGGGAACAGACACAAACTCATTGAGGGAGATTTACTAAAACCAGAATGTGGGGCAGTCGTGCATAGTAACCAATCAGCTTCCAGGTTTTATTGTCAAAGCTTAATTGAACAACTAAAGTTAAAAGCTGATTGGTTACTGTGCACAGCTGCACCAGATCCTGTGTGCACCAGTTTTAGTAAATCTTCCCCATCATGATTCCAATTGATCTTTAAATAGACTCTGTCACTTAGCCCACTTACGAGAACTGACAGATATCACCAAACTCCCCCGGACACTCGGGCAGTACTTAAAGCGAAGTTCTGCTCACCCTGTCAAAAAATAAAAGTCAGCAGCTACAAAAACTGTAGCTGCTGACTTTTAAAAAAAACAGCCACTTACCTGTCCCACAGTGTGTCCCCTGCAGCCCGTTTCACCAGCCATCCTGTATTCTAGGAGCCCAGCATCTTCAGTGTGGGCACCCGGCTGTGATAGCTTGCGGCTTCACAGCCGGGTACCCACTGCGCATGCACAAGCAGCGCTGTGCTTCATTAATGGTCCTGTAGTCTTATGGGACCTGTCACGTGTCCCAAAAGACTACAGGGAGGGAGGACACCTTCCGTTTCCGATCGCCTAGGCGAACGGACCGGAAGTGGGGGTGGGTACCTGTCAAATTCGGGTACCCGCTCCCCGCCCCCCAAAGGTGCCAATCCTTAATGGGGAAGCGGGGGAGCAGTCCTTAAAGCAGAACTTCCCCTTTTGGGTGGAGCTCCGCTTTAATGAGGCACTTTTCCACACCTTCCTAAACATCAATGGAGTGTCGTTTCTGGATTTGTTGTAGCACATGACCTTCCCTCCCCTGTGACAGTGCTCAGGCCTGAGCAGTCGCTATCACATGGCAAGGCCTGTGATGGCATGCCCTTGTCTAGGCTTCCACCTCATTGTGGAGTCTGGAGACACTGACACTTTTTTTCCTGCTTGAGCAAAGTGACGGTGTCTGATTAGGCGAATTGCATGTTCATTTATCTGATGCCTTTCCCAGCTGCGTATACTTACATTAGCTGTACATGTTAAGATGAGGCTGAACAAGAGAAACTGTAGATTTCCTCTCTAAACAAAGTGAATGGAGGAATCTCCCCCTGCCGTAGCTGTCAGAATACCCAAAGAGTGATTGCATCTGATTTGCTGTAGTCACCATTGAAAAATTTCCGCCTGGCTTGTTCGACTCTCAGGTCAAAGATTGTTGGGCCAGGTGATGCGAACAGGGCCACCAATGGTTTAAATTTTTGTGCAATTCAGCAGAAATCGACTGAAGTTTGAGCTATCATTACTTCATTTTACCTCCCCTGCTGCCTTACGTACCAGTGGGAGGAAAAGAGAAGAAGCCTTGTGTAAGCTCTCTGACCTTGACATTACATAAATAAGCTAAGGACTTACTCCCTGCCAACATGTGAGATCACTTATGCAGACACCCAGGTCCTCTTTATGGGAGGAAGGGAGTAACAAATTCTTGGTGCCATAAATTATTTGTCGTCGCTCCCTGCAGTTGATCTGAACAGCTGGGGGACAGCAGTTAAAGTGGTTGTCAAGGCTGTAGGTTCTATAAATTAATGTCATAAACCTTCTGTGTGCTGCTTCCCCCACAGCCCCCCCCCAATACTCACCTGACCCTCCTCTCAACCCATCAATGTGCACGGGAACCTCGGCTGTCATGGATCTCCCACTCCTCATTGGCTGAGACACAGCAGCGGGAGCCATCAATCGCAGCTAGTAAGCCAATGAGGAGGGGGTGGGGCGGAGCTGGTGCTCTGTGTCCTAGAGTGGGGCTTGGGAGTGAGCACACACCAGTGCACCCATAGCAAGCGGCTTGCTATTGGAGGCACTGGTCAAGGGAAAGGAGCCAGGAACACCAGCTGGGGACCTGAGAAGAGGAGTATCTGGGCTGCTCAGTTCAAAATCATTGCACAAAGCAGATAAGTAGAACATATTTGTTTTAAAAAAAAAAAACAAAAAAAACCCCGAACCATTAAAGTCACTTTAAGTGAATTCTGTTGCTTTGCACTGCATGGTGGGTAAACAAAGAAAGGTTATGCGCTACTAGAAGGGCACTAAATCAAACCCACATGAGCCAAGTACAGGTTTTCTTTATTCTCAGTTGCCCTGATCCCCTCACTTGTGTTGCCAACTGTAGTCTAAGAATTGCAGTCTTGCTTAACCCATGATACATTTTTACTTTCTGTTACTTTGGAAAATCATGGCTGGATCATATGGCTGGCACAGCTGATGTCAGATCACATTGTCTAATAAGTTGTGCAACGGGAGTGTAGCAGTCTTCCGGTTTTCCAGTAAAGGCTGGGAAGATAGCACCATGTAGTGGAAAATCAGGGCGACTGAGATTACCCCACAGAGACCTTAGTTAACACTTATTCACATCTTATACCAGAAGCCATGTCTAAAATAACTTTTTTATATGTAGAGACCAGATGGACGGAAACATGTGGAAGGAACCCGCAAGAGCATTGAAGCCGTTGTGGCCCGTCTTGAGAAACAGAATGGAGTTGGACAGAGTCACAACTCTAGCTGTGATGAGACATTCATGGACCCTTGTCATATGACAGCACACATGGACAGATTGGATGAAGCTCTGGTCCCTCGAGTCCTGTATGAGGAATTGCTGAGGAGTTACCAGCAGCAGCAAGTGGAAATGAGACATATACAGCATGAGCTGGAAAGGACTCGGAGGCAGCTGGTTCAGCAGGCTAAAAAGCTGAAAGATTACGGGACATTAGTGACGGAGGTAAAGGAACTTCGGGTTCTGAACAGGAGACTCCAGGATGTGCTACTTCTTAGACTTGGCAGTGGTAAGTCACTGAACTAAGCTATTTCTAAGGCATGATTTGTACTTGTATCTGACATGTTTTGCAGTTTTTTTTTTTATTGTATTAAACCAAATATTGTATTAATATTATTATACAGGATTTGTATAGTGCCAACAGTTTACAGAGCGTTTTACAACATAAAGGCAGACAATATTATTACAATACAATTTAATACCGTAGGATTCAGAGGGCCCTGCTTGTTAGAGCTTACAATCTTAGCCCTTAAAGCAGTGGTTCTCAACCTGTGGGTCGCGACCCCTTTGGGGGTCCAATGACCCTTTCACAGGGGTCCCCTAAGACCATCAGAAAACACATATTTCCGATGTGTAAAGAGCAGCTACTGTGTAGAAAGCAGCTGCTGTGTTGAAAGCAGCTACTCTGTTAAAAGCAGCTACTGTGTTGAAAGCAGCAGTATTGGAGGTAAAACGACACTTATGAATTTTAATTACTGGGTAAATAATTTTATGGTTGGGGGTCACCACAACATGAGGAACTGTATTAGAGGGTCACGGCATTAGGAAGGTTGAGAACCACTGCCTTAAAGTCTAATTATGTCCTCAACAAAATAACACTCATTTAGTTTCATGTCAGTTTGGTTAAAGTAGTCTAACCAAATCTTTTTATTTATTATCACAGGTACTTATAGAGTGCTGTCAATTTATGCAAGCTACGCATATATATTGTACATTCACATCAGTCCCTTCCCTCAAGGAGCGTACAATCTAAGGTCCCCAACTCACATTCATACATACTGGAGCCCATTTGGACAAGATCTAATTAACCTACCGGCATGTCTGTGGGAGGAAATTGGAGTACCTGGCGGAAACCCACGCAGGTACAGGGAGAACATGCAAACTCCAGGCAGGTAGTACCGGGATAGGGATTCGAATCAACAACGCTAATGTTGCTAGGTGGAAGTGCTAACCACTTGGCTACTTATTTAGTATTGGATAAAGCGGACAAAGATTAGAGCTTCTGCCAGACCTTTATTGCTGTCTTTGTCTTCCTTGGAGATATTTTTTGCCTTTTTTTTCTCTCAGTTGGCATCAGTCATTTGGACAAGTAGTGATAGGACAGCAATACAGACCTGCAGGTTCAGTGTCGTTGCTCTTACTGGGTACTCTTCCCTTCACTGTTTGGTCCAAGTGGCACCAGTCACAAAAACAGGAAGACATCTTCTGGGCATGGACACCAATAGTACCTGAAAGATGTTCTGACCCTTCCTTACTTTATCCAAAACTAAGGAAAACAAAATTGGCCTAAACTTCTCCTTAAAACATATAGAATATATGGTGAGTGAGGGTGTAGTACAATCAGAGGAGAAGAGAATTAGCCAGCAGTTTATAACATAAGCAAACGCAACGTATACTACCTGTTCTGTGCTACATACATGTAACAGAGCTATGAAAAATAAGTACTAAATCACACAAGGGACTGATTTTACTGTTGTGTTCATTATTTTCATTTAGTAATTAAGTATTTGACTTTCCATTGTCTCCTACAGTACTACAGTGGATATACAAAGTCTACACACCCCTGTTAAAATGTCAGGTTTCTGTGATGTAAAAAAAGATAAATCATTTCAGAACGTTTTCCACCTTTAATGTGACCTATAAACTGTACATCTCCATTGAAAAACAAACTGAAATTTTTTAGGGGGGGAAGTAAACATAAAAAACTAAAATAATGTGGTTACATAAGTGTGCTCACCCTCTTATAACTGGGGATGTAGCTGTGTTCAGAATTAAGCAATCACATTCAAAATCATGTTAAATAGGAGTCAGTGCACACCTGCCATCATTTAAAGTGCCTCTGATTAACCCCAAATAAAGTTCTAGTAGGTCTTTCCTGACATTTTCTTAGTCGCATCCTACAGCAAAAGCCATCGTCCACAGAGAGCTTCCAAAGCATTAGAGGGATCTCATTGTTAAAAGGTATCAGTCAGGAGAAGGGTACAAAAGAATTTCCAAGGCTTTAGATATACCATGGAACACAGTGAAGACAGTCATCATCAAGTGGAGAAAATATGGTGTAACAGTGACATTACCAAGAACTGGACATCCCTTAAAAATTGATGAAAAGACGGGAAGAAAACTGGTCTGGGAGGCTGCCAAGAGGTCTAGAGCAACATTAAAGGAGCTGCAGGAATATCTGGCAAGTACTGGCTGTGTGGAACATGTGACAACAATCTCCCATATTCTTCATATGTTTGGGCTGTGGGGTAGAGTGGCAAGACGGAAGCCTTTTTTTTTTTTGAAGAAAAAAACATCCAAGCTAAATTTTGCAAAAACACATCTGAAGTCTCCCAAAAGCATGTGGGGAAATGTGTTATGGTCTGATGATACCAAGGTTGAACATTTTTGCCAAAATTCCAAAAGATATGTTTGGCGCAGAAACAACACTGCACATCACCAAAAGAACACCATACCCACAGTGAAGCATGGTGGTGGCAGCATCATGCTTTGGGGCTGTTTTTTTCAGCTGGAACTGGGGCCTTAGTCAAGGTAGAGGGAATTGTGAACAGTTCTAAATACCAGTCAATATTGGCACAAAACCTTCAGGCTTCTGCTAGAAAGATGACCATGAGGAGGAACTTCATCTTTCAGCATGACAACGACCCAAAGCACACATCCAAATCAACAAAGGAATGGCTTCACCAGAAAAAGATTAACGTTTTGGAATGGCCCAACCAGAGCCCAGACCTGAATCCAATAAGAAATCTGTGGGGTGATCTGAGGAGGGCTGTGCACAGGAGATGCCTTCGCAATCCGACAGATTTGGAGTGTTTTTGCAAAGAAGAGTGAGCAAACATTGCCAAGTCAGGATGTGCCATGCTGATAGACTCATACCCAAAAAGACTGAGTGCTGGAAGCAAATCAAAAGGTGCTTCAACAAAGTATTAGTTTAAGGGTGTGCACACTTATGCAACCATATTATTTTAGTTTTTATTTTTACTTCCCTCCACCTAAAAGATTGCAGTTTGTTGTTCAAATGAGCTGTACAGTTTATAGATCACAAAGGTGGAAAAAGTTCTGAAATGATAAATCTTTGTCTAATTTTTTTACATCACAGAAACCTGACATTTTAGCAGGGGTGTGTAGACTTTTTATATCACTGTATATATATTTAAAAGATAAGTGTAGCCAATGCTTTTTTTGGCTATACTTCCCCTTTTGGGGTCATAGGAGTACATTTATTTATTTTTGCGCCCCTGAGTCAGGAGATGGCAGGCTATTGCCCTCTATCAGCTGACAAGGCAGAGCCGTGCCAAGTATGGGAATGGTCCCGACAATAATGCTGATTGACAGCTGAGCTGTGGACAGTCACACCTGCCCTCTTTCCAGCTTGGTGCCCCATTGAGTGCTGAAGGAGTAGAGCAGAGAGCTAGAGACTGACAGTCACTGTAATACACAACCAGCAGAACTGAGTGATCAGTGGTCAGGTGATTGCTCAGTTCTTTGTCTTAGATGCAGCGTGGGACAGCTGCATTGTTACACATATACTGCAACACCTTCTTAAACTCAAACACAGCTATTTTTACATTTTATAGATCATTAAAATTGTATTTTTTGTTACTCCAGAAGCTCTCTGCAAGCTCTTCTAAGTGCTGCTGATATGTACAGTAGGAGCGGCACTTCCAGCCCCCCAGTGCATCAGAATAGTGTTTGATAGACACCAGTTCAGGTGTTGTGCCTCTACCCTATGCCATTCACAAAACACAGCTGCAATATGATCACTGTACTTTTTGAATTGGAAGTGTGGCCCCCACTATACATATGAGCAGTGCTCAGCTGAGCTTAGAAAGCTCCAGAAGTTATAAAATAAAAATAAGTTTGATTTGAGTATAAGCCTTTATAAAAGCCCTATAAGTCAAACCTTATTTGCGGCAATGGAACTGTTGAAATCGCTGCAGCATCTGTCTTTGCATTGACATCTGTTAAATGAAGACGCACAGATGTTAGCAAGCTGCACGTGAAATCGCACTGATAGTCGGCTTTGAATTCCCACGGAAGTAGTGCGACTTCAAAGCCGCACAGGTATGAACCAGGGTTTAAAGTTTTACAAAAACCCAAAAATAGCTGTGCCTGGAGTTTGGCTTTACCTACTGTGCTGCCTGGATTTAGGGATTTTTTTCAGCTGTTGTGATTTTACAAGTAAAATATAGTGATGCTAGGTCTTCATCAGTAAAGGGTTTAAAGGATAAGTTCACCTTTACAAAAAAAATAATAAATGTGCATTGTTTTGCAGGTAAAAAAAAATATACATTTACTATTCTTTTTGTTAGGAGCCTAGAAAGCATTGCACCCATGATCAGCAAATCATGGATGTAATGTAACGGTCCTGCAGATTGTCTGTGTACCTCCGATATGAGTAGGCAGTTACCGAATGACAGGAAGCTCAATGAACTATCTAGAGCGCTCAACAGTGCCCTGGTAGTTTGAGAACTGTCGCTATTTGTAGTTTTCACATTCACAGAACACAGCCCCACTTGGCTGCGTTTTTTTTTAAATTATGACTGCAAAAGGGGGAAAAGAGGATCCCTCACTTGCTATCAAACTGTGGAATCGGGGTGCGGAGGCTGGTGTATATGTTACATTTTATACCCTTAATATGAAAGGTGAAATTATCTTTTAAGTGCTGTCCATGTTTCACAGCCAGCCCCGATCACCTTTGCCCAATTGTCCAATTGTGGTTTGATGTTATGAAGGAGGAAGGAGGGGAAGGCAGACCTTATATCAGCAGACAGCTCGTCCAAGGTCTATGTCCTCACTGAGGTTGGGCAGCTTTGAATTCTCGCTACTTGAACCAACAGGCTACAACATACTGTGCATGTATAGAGAGTAGTAAGGAAGCTGTTTAGTTGAAGGATGTGCAAGTACATGGCTTCTTTATTAGGGTGTACAGAGAGAGGGCCACTCGTATGCAGTACACTGTGGCCTATTACCTGGAATGATCAGAAGAACCAACCAGCTTGCAGTAGACCATGATCCTTGGGTTG